GTGTTGGGCGGTGCTCCTTGGACCACACGGCAAGAAGGAGAGCAAATCCCATTCTAAGTGGGATTGCTCTTGATTTGTTTCCTTGTTCATATTTAGTGATTTGTTTCCTTGTAGGAATAGAATTCCTTTTGTGTTTTGGTCTTTATCCTCTCCTATAAATAAAGGAGAAACTCCTTGTACTTAGCAGAACAATTCAATATACAGAATATTTTCCCTCTTATTATTTTCTTCAAGTAGCGTCCAATTTTGGGAGGCCAAACAAAGACTTTCTACTCTAACTACCACACTATATAGACCAGATCTCAAGATTTAAATAGAATGAAAAAAAAAGAAAATAGAAGTGGAATTTACACCAGCAAGGATTTGGACCCAATTAAGGTAAAGGACATCATAAGTTTGCTGGGTTGTCGTTAGCCGCCCTGCGCACTAGCCACTACATGAATGTGATATAACTGAAAAAACGTACGGACGTGCAAATTTAATTAAACCCGATGTCCATCTCGTTGGGTTCTTGTCCCGCTGCGCACAATCATTAATTAATAATGCATATGCTGGATTTATTTTTTTACACCTTAATGCGGGATGTATTAGGGTATATAGTACCTCCGTCCTAGAGTATTTGTCCAATTTTGACTTTTTTCAGTCAATTGTTTTAACATTTGACCTATAATTAAATAAAATGTATATTGTATACTCCTTCCGTCCCAAAAAGATGTTCCTATTTCATTTTTTGCACATGCTATAAAATACTTATATACATATCTAAAATGTCTAAAATTTACCAAATTTCTCATTTATTGTGGTAAAAGTTCTTTTGAAAACTTTTTTGACATTTGAGATAGGATAGAAGTATTTTATGGGATGTGCAAAAAATGAAACAGGAACATATATAGGAACGGATGGAGTATTAATTACATAAGATAATATTTTGAAAATGTTTTATATAATCAATTATCTAATAAAACTATTTTTATATTAATAACTAATATTATCTTTATTTAATTTGGAGTCAAAATTTACAAACTTTGACCAAAAATAAAGTTAAAAATGGACAAATACTCCGGGACAGATGAGTATTACTTAATAAGATAAACTATTGGTGAACCAGAATTGCACTACACCTTTGAAATTAATGTCTTCATAGACATCACAGATACAAAATAGTGATCTATGTCCGTGAGGGCTTTGGAGTCAAAAGTGGGGTGCAACTCGAGATTCTACAAGCATTACTCATTACTTAATTGGTGTTGGTCTTTTGGATTTTTATTACCAGAGTAGGAATGAGTTGAGGAAACATTCACATTCGAATGTATGAAATCATACCTTTAAACGATCTAACCTATTAATTAGAAAGGAGGCTCTGCAGTTCAACCTAGATTGAAGGAGGCTCGAAGAGAGAGGGAAAGGAAATTTAGGATGGGGAAAGTCGGAAAATATTATTGGATTGGGGCATAAGATTTTTGGGCAAATACACTGATTTGTTTTCTGTTCAAATTCTGATGTGAGATACTTTAAATTAAAAGCTACCAAATAGTCCAAGAAGTATTTCGGCCCAATGAGTCTCGTTGGCTACTCGGCCCATGCTTTCAACGAACAAACTCGATGTTGGGTAGCAAATTCCTTCCACACCGAAAGAAGAGTTTGTTGAAAGCATACACTCCTATGTATCTTTGAAATAATTTTTGAAATAATCATGAAAAAGCATTTTATGTATACACTTTATGTATATGAAATAAAGTTTACAAAGCTTTTTCATTTTATGTATATGAAAAAGCATACACTCCTATGTATCTTTGAAATAATTTTACATTTTCCTTTTTAGATTTCTCTATTTCTTTTTTTCGAAAATAAATGCGGAGGTGGCATCAGCGTTAGCCCTTTGAAAAGGTTATCTGAAGGTAGCCTTTAGCGTTAGTGTTTTTTTGAATTAATCTACGCGGTTAATATTTTATCCAAAACACTAACGCTAATTGAAAACGCTCTTCCCAAACAAGGCATATATATATTTCATTCATTTTAATTCAAATAGATTTCGATCATATTTTTTCATTTTTTTTCCCAAAATGTCAATTTTTTAGTGCAAAGATCTGATCTGATTGCAGTTATAATTAAAGTTATTTTTGATCTGGTCTGATCTAATCTGATTATAATAAAAATAAGCGATAAACAAAAAAAGTAAATTGAGTAGAATATTGACTACTCCCTCCGTCCCCTAGTTTTTGTCCACTTTCATTTTTGCACACCATCCAATGCACTTCTTTAATCCATTTTATCTTGTAATTTGTATATTAAAAAATTATAGAAATGATATATTAATAATCTATATGTTAAGACAAATCAAACAAGATCACACATGACTATATTTAGGCTTACACATTGAGAGAATTTGATGAGTCAAAATGCTTACATGAACAGTTCCAAAAGTCAAAAGTGGACAAAAACTGGGAGACGGAGGGAGTATGTATTAATGGATAAAGCAGTGGCACGACTGGATATGGATTGCAATGTGGTCGCGTGACAATGTCGTGGTCACATTCAGCTATTTGTATAAATTGTGATTGAATTGGTGAGGTGTATGTCCAATCAGTGGGTCAAAAATCAAAATGATTCTTTTTACGTTCAAATTTAATTTAGTGGCCATAAAAGAAAAACCAGTGGTCATGTTTCTCGTCTGTCATACTTCAGCTAATAAGACGTACTGTAAAAATTAAGTTTGTCCGCGAGTGCATTTTAGGTGGTCGAAAAGGCCATGTTACAACAAGGACTTAGGCTGCCTTAGCTTCCATTCGTCTGATCTGATATGATCTGATATTTTGAAGATCTGATATGATAAGGTCTGATTTAATCTAATATGATCTAATTGCATTTGTAATTAAAGTTGCTTCTGATCTGATCTGATTATAATAAATAATAAGCACAAAAGATACTCCGTAAGTTGATTAATTGAGATTCAAATTCTAGCTCACAACTATAAAAAAGAACGATCATACTAAACATGTAGTTCATGTACCAGAAAAAAGAGGGATGCCTAAGGAGAGTTGGGGTGGGGTGCATCGGTCAAGCTACGAATTGGCCATTGGGGGATATATTGAAGAGTGGGTTAAGGGGTAAAAATCATTTTCAAGTCAAATCGAGTTTCAAGTGGATCAGTATCATATCATGAAGTTGAAAATCATTTTCAAGTCAAACAAAGTACTATAGTGCACGCGTCACTGCGTTTTCGGACATCCAAGATGCTGCGTTGGTAAAATCGATGAATCTTATCCCCTAATCCCCGGTAAATTCCACTACCGCAGCCTGAACCCCTAACTCCCACGATACTCATTTAGTGTTGCTCCATTATAAAATATTTCGTACATATTTAAAAAAAAGAATACTTCGTTCTATATTTTTATACTTTGTGCTATATTTTTAAAAACTTTTCTTCTTTCATTTTTTAACTATTCTAAAAAAATCTTTTTTCTTTCTATTAAAAGATCAATTTACTCATACTAATTCTTACACTACCTATCATATATTCACAATTAATCTAGGCGTCACATCCTATTTTTATCAATCACATCAAAAAGCATTTTTAAAGTCCACCCCAAAATACATTTTTCCTAAAACCCTTAAAAGTTACGTTAATACTGGAATAATTTTTAGGGGCGGATGGAGTATATACAATGTGCATTGACATTGTAACATACTCTGTATATTTTATGTAAACAATGATACTTCATCCGTCTTAAAATGATCTTCTCAGTTCGGTTTACGATGTTTGATTGACGAAGTTATTTTCGATTCAATTTGTTTGATTATAAGTGTATAATTATAAAAATTATATATTTAAAAACTACATCAAAAGTTCTGTAAAATACGATATGACATGACTATATTATTTTATCAAATAATTAACAAAAATAAGTAAAGAAAGTAATTAAAGTTTGACCATGTGAATAGTGACTTGAAAGATCATTTTAGAACGGAGAGGGTATTACCAAAATTAATACTCCCTTCGTTTTACTCTATTCAATGCCCTTTTCAAGTCAATAAGACTCATGTGCAAATCTTTCTTCTCACTTGGACACATTCCCATCATTCTCCTCAGTCCTCACCAAGTGTAAAGCCTTGGTACTTGATCTTCCTAGCATAAAATTGGTTCTCTAACACTGAAATCTCTGGTCTTTACCTTCGTTCAACCACAATTGCTCACAAGTTCATTGTATGACTCATGAGTTTGATATCTTTGTAGTTTCCACAAGTTTGAATTTCTCCTTCATTCTTGTAATAGAGCCCGAAATGTTATCTTCCATTCATTAGATATCTTAGCTTCTTAGATTTTAAAATTTCATTAAAAAGTTAAGTTAGACACCAAATAAAAATCTTTCCAAACTTCAATTAGAATGTTGTCAAGACGCAATAGTCTGTATTCTTCATCCGTTTTAGGATCTTCATAACTTCAATTTCTCGAAGTACCTGTACCGAATTACTACCTCTATCCCAGAATATTCGTTCAGTTTGACTTTTTCAAGTCAAACTAGACGAACTTTGAGCTTTAATTAAATAAAAACTGATACAATTTGATAATAACTTATCTTATTGAATATTGAGAGATATGGCCCTATATATAGGGAATACAAGAGTAATCAAAGTACAAGTAGGAAAGGAAAGAATAATCATAGTAGGAAAGGAAAGAAGCATCCTAATTTAATTATACTTCCTAATATTCCCCCGCAAGCTGATCAACGGAGACGAAGGGCAGCTTGGAACATAAGTACTCAAAAGGAACTGGCGGAAGCGGTTTGGTAAGAATGTCTGCTAGCTGCTCTGAGGAGGAAACATGATGTGGAGTCATAGTGCCTGCCATAACCTTATCTCGTACAAAGTGACAGTCTGTGCCCACATGCTTCATGCGATCATGAAGAACTGGATTTTTGGTGACACAGATAGTCAACTCATTGTCACAGTATAACTTCGGTTTGGACGGAGGAATACCCAGCGCATCAGTGATATATCGAAGCCACATAGCTTCTGCAACCCCTGCAGCCATAGCTCGATATTCAGCTTCAGTGGATGATCTAGAAACACGAGTCTGCTTTTTCGTGCACCAAGAGATGATATTAGGACCGAGTAGGAGTATGTAGCCCGTGGTAGACTTGCGATCATCTTTATCATTGGCCCAGTCAGAGTCAGAGTAGACAGATAGGTCGAATCCCCCCTTGCGAAAAAGAAGACCATGATTCAAAGTGCCTTTGAGATAGCGCAGAACGCGTTGCAAGGCATGATAGTCCTGCTCAGTGGGGTTGTGCATAGTCTGAGACACTCGATTAACA